TGACAAAGATACGCAAGAATTTTAAAAGGTAACATAGGGTACATCTACACGTTCAATTAATGCATGTGAATAAACTCTGAAGTTTATTGCTCCTGGATGCCATGTCTTCACATCCACCCAGGACATTGAGCCAGGGGGCAGCAGCCCTGGCTGGCAGGGAAGCTGGAGGGGGTCAGCCTGCCAGCCTAGGGCTGCTGCCCCCTTGCTCAGCATGCTGCAGAGGGGCTGGCTGGGGCACAAGGATGTAGCAGAATTACCCTCATGCCCCAGCCAGCCAAGATAGTGTCTACCTGTGCACTGCTGTGCTGTGCACTGGAGTACTATAATGAGCAACTGGTGCCTCTTCAGTTGGGGGGGGGAACATGCCCCCCTGGCACCAGTCAGTGACCGAGGGAGGTGGTCCCTCACAGCCAGTCTCACTGACTGGGGGTGGGGTCCCCCAGCAGCTGATCTCACTCTCCAAAGAGCGGCCGCGTCACTTCCAGAAGTCCTGTGGCCACTTCCAGAAGTGGCGCAGCCACTTTTGGTGGCAGCCTGGCTCCCTGGCCGGTGCTCACAGGGGGAGCACTGGAGCTCCTGCCTGCCCCCCTGCCTGTCACCTAAACAGGGAGTGTGGCCTCACAGGGGGTGTACCCCCTACCTGTCATCACTGAGTACTATTCTCTGCATGTACTATCCTGCTGCAGACTTAGTTAATTTACTCCAGCCTAATAGGAGTGCACATGTAGACATGTGATATTTACTGAGTAGCTAATTAGTCTCCTGCATAGTAAACACCTTGTGTAGATACATCCATGGTCTCCTATTTTATGCCTTTCAGTCAGGAGTGGGCAAAACATGCAGCCCACCAGGCCATTCTATCTGGCCCCTGGGGCACCTAAAATATTTAGAAAATTAATATTTATCTGATCCTGGATGCCTGTCAAAGATGGCAGGAGCCAGGGCCAGTAGAACCCAGGGGAAACCAGCAGCAGCAAGGCCCACCTGGACCTGCCTCACCCCCAGCTTCCCCACCCCCTCCAACTGGTGTCCTGGGGCCTGCACCAGTGGCCCCAGAGCACGGTGGTAGGAGCGCAGGGTCTGGCACTAGCTGTGCTGGAGTGGGGGTAGGGGTCCCATGCTCCTGCCGCCCTGCTCTGGGCCCTGCTGGCACTAGCACCAGGACACCAATGTAGGCCCTGCGCTCCCTCATGCCCGCTCGCTTCCACTCACCCCTGTCTGTAGCTGCCATTTCCCTGCTTTCCTGCCCACTGCTGGCCACTCCAGCACTGTGTGGCTCCTGGATGCATCACTGGACTGCGGGAGCATGGGGCCTGCACGGGTACCCTGAGACCAGGAGTGGGAGTGGTGTGTGTGCATGTGTGTGCGTGCGTGTGTGTGCACATGTGTGTGCAGGAAGGGAGGGACAGTGTGTGTATGTGTGTGTGTGTTCATAGGCTGAGTCCCACACACACCCCATCATACACATGCACCCCCCTCATACTGCCATACATGCAGACCATTACACCCACACCCCCTCACACACCCCAACCACCTTCCCCCCGCACCCAATACCTCTACCTCTACACACATGCTCACATCTTCCCCCACACCCCACATACCCACACATCCACAGATCCCCACAGACCCCTACAAATCTATACCTACCCCTCTATGCCCCCACCTCCCACAATATACAAAAGTAAGGCATCATTTTAAGCTACTGTGCAATCATCTTTATGTACACTACACAAACACAGGACAACAATATTTTTTGAAATCAAATCAACTAATGTTGTAGATGTTTGCTTTTTAGACTATAACTTGGTATTTTTTTGGTTCCAAGATGGCAAAACCTTGCTGAAAGGAGTACCTCCTGGGACAAGGGGTGGGACTTCTGGTGGCAAAGGTCAGGGGTTAGGGGCCAGAACTTCCAGTCACAGGATGTAGACCGGGGGTGGGGCACCTGTGAAGGGGTGGGACAACCCATGCAGCCCTTGACCACTTGCCAAAACTCAGTAAGTGGCCCTCCACCCAAAATAATTGCCCACCCCTTCTTTACCTAATAAATAACTTGATTTGAAATGTTTGATTACAGATTCCACATCAATGAATAAGAACTATTATTTTATGACAATTTCAGTCATCGTTCCTATCCTATTATCAGGGGGCTGGTTATATCTTCACTGCAAAAGGCAACAGGACTCCCAAAACTCTGGTAAGTGGCACTGCATTTGAAATGCAAACCCTAAAAGCTAGGTGTTGAGTTCAGGATCTGTGTGTCATGTCATAGCAGCACTAGGAGGGGAACTGCATAGTGCTTCTGTTGCACTAACAGTCTTGGCTTTTCATGGCCATCTATACAACAAGCTATTGGTAGATTATTTCAAGGTGGTGACCAGGAGACCTGTTTTACATGTGTTTAAACAAAACCTCTCTTCAGCCCCTATGCACCTTTTCCTTGTTTGGGCTCCTGCAAAGAGCAGTTTGTGGGGGTGCTAAATGGGTTGGTGTGAAGAACTTTGGCTGGTCAGGATACATGATACTGGCTATTTCTCTGAAGGATGCTAAATGCAGAAAATCAGTAATTTCTCTCTTGCAGAATGTACACATTGTATGTTGAACACAACCTTGAAGTTTCAGCTCTTTAAAAAAAAACATATATATAAATCATGTTGGAATTATGTTGTACCTGTGATGGTTCAGGAGTTATGCTAGGGGCAAGAACTGTTGTGGGTGATATCTTTTACTGAACAGTCTGTAAAACATACTACCCAAAACAATCCTTGCCTCTCGCATGTATGTAAATAGGCTTTTATCCCATCTCATCAGTATGTTGCAATCTTCCACTCAAAGGAATTAATTGCAAAACTGTTTGTTCCCCATTGCTTCATTTCACCTGACTGTTAATTAAACACAAAGATCTCAATCTTTATTTTCAAAAAGCATTTTTTGTATTTGTTTTCTGTTCACGGCAAAATCCCACCCTTTTGTTACCAAAATGTAGCAAGACAGAAAAGCTCACAGAAAACCCCAAGTGCAATTACAAGAGAAACATGACAAATGCAAACTTAGCACCCTCCAGCAGCGGTAAACGAACTGTTACACATGGCAGTACTCTGCAGTTGTAAGGTAGAACAGCTAACTGGCTTTGTGACATGGTCATGTTTGAGTACTGAGCAGAATTTACTCTGCTCCCTAACTGATCGACAACTCAGCAGGAGTTGAGAATATCTGAGGTATTGGGGTCTGAGGTTTCTGCACCCTTGACTGTCACAATATCCCGAACACTTATTTGCACACCAAACATTCCCAGGAAAGATCACTTTAGTCTCCCAATATATGACTCTTGAAAAGCATAATGACCAAACAGTGGCTGTCTGGTATTTTTATGATATTGTGATTTGCCCAAACTTCAGTGCCAGTTGGAAGGCGTCAAGAGGAGCAGATGCTTCAGGTTTCTGAACTGAATGAAGGAAATGAGGAGAGAAATGAAGCAGACGATGGAAATTCTTCATCTAACTCATCCGAATGGGTAAGTGACTTATAAGAGGGCTCTGCCTATGAGAGAAGTGAGGTACTTCTCAGTGGGAAGTTGAGCAGAAAGAATACAAAGGGAGAACAAGTCTCTTGTTGAGAGGCATGTACCCTAATTCATGACAGAAAGTCATAACAAAAATAAATGCGTTATCATTAAAAGCATAACAAAAGTCCTTTCTGTTCTTAAAATCTGCATGTCAGAAAGGCCTGGAATTATATGTAATGAGGTATGGACATGAAGAAAAGGGGAACATGAGAAAAGCAAACAAAAAGAGTATTATAGGTTGAATGAAACTACTCTGTAAGCCAAGTGGACAGCATGGTTGGCCCCAGTGATTTAATAAACTGGGTCTATTGCCAAGGAGAATAATGGTGAGATGGCAACATGAAAGCCATCTCTTGCACTCTGAGAGCAGAGCACACACCACGTTAGCATGGTTTCATGCTTCGGGCTTTCATGCTTTATCCCATCAAATGCTGTAGTTTGCCTGGGCATTCTCCCCCACGCTGCCTGTGATTAGTTGTTTCAGTATATCTAAGGCTGTGGGTAAGACCTTCAGAACAGAGCACAAGTATACATATGCATCAGGCAAACAAAGAACAGAAACATGCACCATGTTATGCTCAGATTTTTTTTATATATATCTAATGCTGTGCCATAGCAAAGTACCAGTCATCTGAGCTTTGGAGGTGTGGCTTCATATAGTTTGTATGCTCCTCTCCAGGCTACATGCAGGCCTGAGTAGCAAAGGAGTGTCAAAAGACACTGTTTGCCATCAACAAAACAGGTTCCTGACTTCTCAAACCATGCCCAGGTTCATGGTTGATGGGACAGCATCAGGACAGCAGTACTAGTAGTTATAATACCAATTCCTAGCAATAACTATTTTGAGAAAAATACTACCAGAATGTATTAGCCTGGGGCCAATGAACTTGTTTTGTATTTCTACAGAAAATAACAACCTAGTGAAATGTTAGTTTCATTTGATGTTTAAAAGCAGATTTCTCCCTATGTGAAATGCAAGGCTTGTATAGCCCATTGATCAAAATAATAAAATATTTAAATTGCTGGCCATAAATGGATAGTGCTGTTACTTGTTAATATTTGATAGGCACATGAGAGATATAATATTGAAAAGGACAAAGCAGCCATTAAAGATGGTGTAAAGGAATGAGTTCATTACGAGGCATTAACTGCTGTGGACTTGTATGAATAAGAAGAACCATCTGGAGGACATGTGAATATAATTAAGAAAGGTCTGTTGCTGTTGCTTTATAATTAAACAATTGTTAGCCATAGTGAACTCTTGTCATGAGCCTGCATCAATTTATACTTTCACATAACTGACTTCTTTTCTCTTCTAATGAAAGCAGACAGGGTGATTTCATATTATTATTATTTTAAAGCATAATTAGCTCTCATAAATTATTCAAAACATTGAGTAAGCTGAAGCCATCCTTTCTTAGTAACACTAGTAAATATCTTGCACCTAGACACTGTATTACAAACTTATACCAGAAGTAATGAATAGATACTGTTTTGTTCCTCAAGCTGCATACGTTGTACTTCAGTTGTAATAAACCATTAGAATATGAACATTGCAACATAAATTGTTACTGCAAACTCTGCAAATCATACCTTGTTATGAGCTGAAAAATCCCTCCAAGTTTTTCAGGAAGTTTGTTGCTTAAGCAATTTTTTAAATTAGATTTCTTAATATTTTTTATTTGTGGGTAGCATTTCTATAGACAATGAGTGTCATGCTGCTGAACCAAAGATTATTCACGTTTGTGATTTACATATTCCATCTAGTACTTATCTATTTGCAGTCTCTAATTTATGTTCTTACCACATGGATGAGATGTGACTGATAGCAACATGACTCCTGTCTAGTTCTCAAAAGACCAAGTAGTTCAGCTTATAGAACGATAACCCGTGTTTATTCAGAGACCAGTGCTCAGCCTGCTCCTCTGCTGTTCCCTTCTGCCCTCCCCAGGCCAATGTAGCAACTTATTCATAATAGGCCTGTGCGAAGTGGCTCGTATTCACTTCAGATTTGGAGGATTTGGAGGATTCAGTGATTTCTATCACTGTCCTGAATTGATTTGGCTGAATCTGATTCAGAGATTCGGCCGCCAAATCTCCGAATCAAATAGGCCCCATCCCCTGCCTGCTCTCCCAGCCCTGTCAATGGCTGCCCCACCCAGCCCCCCCATCCCAGCACTTAAAAATAATAAATAAATAAAAGCCCCATACTCACCAGCTCCTGTCAGGCAGTAGGGCGATCCCCACTGCCCCGCAATGTGTGTGGGGGGGCTCTTCCATGAGCCCCCAGAGGCCCTGACAGCTGCTGCAGCAGCCAGTAAGTGGAGGCCTTTTTTTTTTTTTTTTTTTTTAAAGCGCTGGGCCAGGCAAGGCAGCCATTGACGGGGCTGGGAGACTGGGCAGAGCTGGGGAGCGCTCAAGGGGGCTGGGGGAGCAGGCAGGGGATGAGGCCTCATGGGGGGCCCCCGTGGTCCTCTTTGCCCCTCCTCCAGCCCCACCTCCCCCTGCTTACTGGCATGGAGTCCAGGTTGAGCTCCTTGCGGCGGCGAGTGGGAACTCTCCAAAATTCTCTGAATCTTTTCCAAATCAAGTCAGAGAGCTTTGAATCAATTCTGACCTTTTTACTGGTCTCCCAATTCAATTTGGATTTGGAGATTCGGCTGCTGAATTGGGCTGAATCTCCTCTGAGCTTGCAGCAGCAAAGAGCTTCCCTGCCTGGCCCCACTTTGCCCTGCTGCACTGGGTCCCGTCCGCTGGGCCATGAAGGCCCCAGGGAAGGGCAGCAGGGCGGGGAGCCCGAGCCTGCAGCAAGCAGCCCCTACCTGCCCCTGCCCCCACCCTACACACAGAGCTGGGGGGCATGGGTCCTCCCTGCCCGCTCTGGGTGTGCATGCAGCAATGGGGAGCTAGTCCCACTTCCCGCCCAAACCCACAGCAAGCAGCCTGCACCTGCCCCCCCCCCCACGGGCTCTGCTCCAGTTGTGCTGTCTATGGGGGGATGAACCATGCTCCACTATGCTACAGCAGCTGCCATCTCCCACAGGCAGCAGCTTGGGATTGGTCGCTGCTGCAGAGGGCAGGGCGATGTGCACCCAGGTCCCTGGCCCCCAAACCCTGGCAGCTAGGGGCTCCCTATGGCAAGGGTCACCAGCAGGGCCAGTGGGTTGTGCTGGGGAGTGAGGGCAACAGCAGGGCCAGGGGGCTGTAGGAGGAGGGAGGGGCACCAACAGGGCTGTGGGGGGGAGTGAAGGGCACTGGCAGGGCAGGGAGCTCTAGCAGGGAGTGAGGGGCATCAGCAAGGTGGGGGTTTGTGGGGCAAGTGAGAGTCACCAGAAGGCCCAGGGCACTGTGGGTGGGGAGGGGCAACAACAGGGATGGAGGTCTGTGGCTTGGGAATGAGGGGCCTGATCCTGCATTCTCTGAGCCAAGGGGGCAGGGGGAGCATATAAGCCTCCATGGCTCACTAAAAACATCTGGGAATGTCTCCTTGCCAAAAAGGAGGCTTAC